GTGTGTTTTGAATTTGACAGCTAATGTATCAAGCCGTTCAGAAGGCGAATTATGATCACTGATTTTTTTTTAGCAACGATTGCGCTCAACTTTTGCGCCTTCTGAACCTACCCATTGAGAGTTAAAATTTGTTTGTATTATTTTATAAAAAAATTATCAAGCTTAAAACAAAATCATATAGACCATGTTTTCAAACTTCAAACAAAACGAAGCAAAATTTAATGATTTTTAATAAAAATTTTCGACCTTTTAATCAGATAAAAAAAAATAAACAAAAGTGGTAAACAATCTCGCTTTGAAATGAGGGTGCTATTGATATGACCGATATTGTACATGCGCGAATATATCACTGATCACCCGAAACGTGCAGTTATGCAGTCATTTTTTTTTCAATGTTTTTCATTTTATATATTTTTCGTTAAGTTTTTATTTAAGTGCGTCTCATATTCCATAAACCATCTAAATTTCATTTCCGAACTATGCAGCAAACTTGATAGAACTGTAAAACGGTTTTCAAATTTCAAAGTTTTTAATCGCAGTTTTTTTATAAATACATATTTCGAGTATTCCTTTTGTAGCCCATCAAATTTTGGTGTAGTAAAGTGTAGCCTTGCATCTTAAACGAAAATAATTAAATAGGAGAATACCTTCAAGAGCGTGCGTAAAAAGAGTTATGAAAAATCAGCGCGATAAATTGTACTCAAATTTAATGGGCTATAGAACTGCATACTTTTAAATCCGATTTAAAATATTGAAGTTTTTATAACAGTTTCTAGAATTCTACTAAATTTGCAACATGGTTAGAAACGTTAATTTATATGTTTATGTTATAATACTTATGAGCCATCCTTAAAAAAAAAAAAATACGAACCATTGTGAATATTCAAAATTCTAAACACTTAGGTTTTTTTATGCGGTACATGCGTTCCTCAGAAAGCCGCATAAAAAAAAATCCGTATAAAAAAGTTCTTTACTTTCATACAAAAACAGGGGATGCGTTCCAGCATTTTCAAAAACCGCATAAATTCAGACAATCCTAATAAAAAATTCTAAAAAACCGCATGGAGTAGTAGTGGAGTAGTCTAGCAAGACAATATTAAGCATAAAAAAAAAACAATTTATTTCTGCACTTCAACATATTCCATGTAAAACTGAACATTAATGAAATAAATAGGTTTTTATCTGTATTTCAACCAAAAACCAAACCAAAAATACCACAATAAATACACGAAGTATGTAAGAATACAAAGGCAAATTAATTACACACTGAAAAAAAGTAATAGAAACTCTAAAAAAAAACATCGCAACTGCCAAAAAATGGTTTGAAAAACCGCATAAATTCAGATACTCCATGTAAAAAATTCTAAAAAACCGCATAAAAAAAATCCAGTGAGACAATACTTGAGAAGGTCATGCGTTCCCCAGAAAGCCGCATAAAAAAAAAATCCGCATAAAAAAGTTCTTTATAAAAAAAAAAAAGTTCTTTTTTTATTTTCATACAAAAACAGGGACTGCATTCCAGCCTTTTCAAAAACCGCATAAATTCAGACAATCCATATAAAGAATTCTAAAAAACCGCATAAAAAATGCAGTGAGACAATATTAAGCAAAAAACAATTTATTTCTGCACTTCAACATATTCCATGTAAAACTGGAAAGATTTTTATTTGTATTTCAACCAAAAACAAAAAAAAAATACCACAATAAATACATGAATTATGTATGAATACAAAGACAAATTAATTATACACTGAAAGTAATAGAAACTCGCAAAAAAAAAAAACAAAATCGCAACTGCCAAAAAATTGTTTGAAAAACCGCATAAATTCAAATCCGCATAAAAATAACGCATAAAAGGAGATCTAAGTATCACAGAAATCGCCATTATACGTAACAAATATAAATTATTTTTAAGAATAACGGTTTTAGAAAATTAAGGAATAACTGACACTTTAGGCTCCTAATTTTAAAGCACAGTTTGCCTCAAAAAGTAAATTAGTCCAAAACAAGTAGCTCTTTAAATCATAAAATGAAGTATTTTTTATTTACAGATTTGTATGCGTAGTTATTTAAAATTACAGTATTTAAAGAAAAGGCTCTGTACTATACTTCTTGGAACCAGCTCAAAACTAACCACATTTGTTCTAGCCCGGAGGTGACCCCTTTTGAACTATCTAGAAACTGTTGTTATATGATCTGTCTCAGAACAATCTAAGCCAGAGTCAGTTCAGAACAAGTTCAAAAGTTCTGCAGAGGGCGACAATTTTCACTACGTAGGACATCGCCATTTAAAAAAAAAAGACAGTTCAAAGCATTTACGTTGGGATAGATGAAGAACCAGTACCGTCCCGTTTTCAGGCTAGCTCGGCGCAAGTTCTGAACCCGTTTGATTTGCTGCAGGGTATTTAGTTCCCCTGCATGGCAGCGTTTGAACTAGCAAACCCAAAAACAAACAAACATTGAAACTGCATACATTTTAAATTTGTTTCAGTATCTTCTTTATAGTTTCAATATGGGAAATATTACAACAAATACATTTTTTCACTTTTCACTTAATACATATGTAAGTCTAGATACTAAAATACATAGAGACTACTTTTGGATGTGTGTATGTATGCATGTTGGGAAGACTGAAATTAACACGACCTACATACATATACTTAGCTAAAAGTGCCTGATCGACTACTATCTCTATAAAGTTAAAAAATAATATACTTATAAAATTATAGAAAGAAAAAAATAAAAAAAGTGAAAAGATCATGATGATTTCCCAGAAGGATATGTACACTGTCACGATATATGTACGTATGTATTTTCCTTTAAGTAAATGTTAACTAATCATAGGACCTACTTAGTTACTATTATAAATGTCTATGTAGATGTTACATTCACTCACACATCTTATCGTCTAGGGTTCCACCACTACTTCTAACTTAACAGAATCGTATATTTAATGTGGCGTTATTACTAGAAAACTATACAATTATCTTTTGATATTTGCTTTACAATTTGTTGTAATAGCCTTATTTGAAATTTTATTGAAAAAACCAAGTTTAGATTGCTTTTCTTTTAAAATATGTACTATACATAGATAAAGTCAATTCCTGTTAAAAGACTAATCGCTATGTATATATTGTATGTGTTTCATTTATAACCGTTTAATAAAGGATTTTTATTCGTTTGATTTATATGAAATTCCTACTAAAACGAGTTGTTTTCAAAACTCGTCTGTCGATTTTATTAAACGAATACAAATTTGGAGTGTGGACATTTTTTGGGCGTTCCTAAAGTAAGACGCAACCACTTGCCGCGACATGACGGTGCCGCCAGTGCTCGCCATCGTGTAGTTCTTCCCGGCACGCCTTCGCCTCGACAACGGGCATTGTCCGAAATTTGCCCATCATTAGCATGAACTATGGGGCGTCGCAAAGCCAGAGGTGTCGTAACGGATACGGTATTCATGCCAATGCTAACTGTTGCTGAACTCGGTTCATCTCCTTCAAAAGCATTACTGTCTAATTGATATTCTGGCCAATTTTTCTGGTTGTCTTCGTTATTTGGAGTTGAATTCATTTTGTCGTTCCGTAAATTCAATTTATGGTAAGTTCCTCGCTTGTTACAATGAACTGCTATCCGATCGCCTATAATAGAATATTTATTTACACACATACATACATACATACATATATTTTTACAAACAACAATGGCAGACGTTTATAAAAAAACCCACCTTCCATAAGTAGATTGTAGGGTGCCAACTTGTGGCATTCCTTAGCCGCTTTAATTACTTCAAACTCAATGCAATATCTGTAAAAATAAAAATTAATAAAATGAAGCGCATTAATATACATATGTACATAAGCGCAAATTGAATACGAAATAAAATTTGTTTGATGACAAGTTGATGAATGTGAGCTCACCTTAACACTTAAATTTTGTTCAAATATGTGGCCAATTAGAATTGAATTTGATATATGCTATATCCTGTACATTTATCCTCATCAGAAACTTCCGAGTTTCCCTGCTACATGTTTCCATTTCCGAGATATTCGTTCAAACAACACTCCTTTTGTTTTTGGTTTAATACACATTTTTACACAGAAATCGCTCAGCAAAGAAAAAGGACAACGCATTCATCCACACCTTTTTAGCGGAAACGGAAATTGTAACTTTTAACAAGTTCTCTTCATTCCCCAGAGGAACACAAGCATAGATGCACACAAACATACATATATGCAGTATGTGTACATATCCATATACATATTTACATGCGTACATGCGTACATGCGTACGACTGAAAAGACGTGCGAAGCTTTTTTAAACCACCGCTTTTTTCTACGACAACAGATTGTGTTAAATAAGCCGCATAAGTTATTTCCGTTGGTTATTTAACAACTTAAGCTTGTGCACGGTGGGCAGGAAGCGAAGATAGGTTGCATAAAAATGTCGACAAAATCTGAAAGCAGGGTTGTATTTGTTGATATCTTAAGGTTTAGAATCCGCTTAAATTGAAATCCTAGCTGCTCCTGTTTCAAAGATATCCACATTTTATATACTTCTGATAGGATATATTTGCAAAAGAGGAAGGCGTACTTAATTAGAGCATATTTATACGAAAAGAAATCTCATACAAATCTGTTCCCCTTTTTTAACTCACTAAAACGGATCAAATCAATGTGAAACATTTTCATTTTTTCCTACCGAAAGAATAATTGATCGAGATTTATTGGGCGCTACCGGTATACAACTTAGATAAAACACCACAATTACCTTTTCTGGAGCGTGAACTTTCTCATTACAAACACTTTCAATATCGCAATATATGTATGTATGTATACAATATTGTATGCTATATAATACGGTAGTAATTTTTTATTAAAGGTTTGTTGCTATAAGCAAGTAGCGCAGGCAAGTCGCACTACGCTTGTGCAAGAAATAAAAATGCTCTAACTTATTCCAACGGTACTCCTCATAATAAGTAAATAAATTCAAAGCTTGTATGAGATTTATTTTGGTATTTATGTACTCTTCTGTCAGGAAATAATGACTATTGTACATCCATAACACAAATGCGATCATAAAGAAAATCGCATGAAAGTATGCGCTTTGTGTGTAGGGCTGCCAGACGTCCCGGTTTTCCCGGACATGTTCCGGTTTTAGACTATTTGTCCCGGTGTCCCGGTCCAACCTTAAAATGTCCCGGGTTTCATTTAAGTGTCCCGGTTTTCGATTTGATTGCACAAATTTTGCTTAAAAATGACTACGCTGAGAGAAAAAACGCGTTGTAATATTAAGAAAAATTTTATGAATTTACTCGGGGAAATAACGCATAGTAAACATGAATATTTTTTATTTGATTATCGTTTTGAAATGTTCGTACTCAAAAACAATACTTTCATACCACGCACACGTGGTGTTGAATCAAACTGAACATTTGGATGCACATTTACATGTCTGGCTGTAGCTGAGTGCACGAAGATGCTTGCCACAATTTGCTAATTTCCAGAGCGTCAGGGTTCAAATCCCATTACAGACAGCATGGAATTTAAATACATATTTTTTTTTAACTTAATTATGAAAAAGCATCCGTTAAGTGCAAAGCGCTTCATTTTAATATTGGCGTATTTCAATTGAATATTTCTATACTAAATACTAAAATTTGTATACTTAAATTATTACGAGTTGGGTTGGTGCTCTTTCATATGCGAATTTTTTTTTTAAATGTAGCACGTTTTGCATAAGCAATAGTTGATGATTAATATAAGTATGTACCTAAATACGTTAAAATTACATGCACAGAGTTTTACAATTATAGCAAAAGCCAGAAGTTTTGAAACAAGCTCACAGCAACGAAACAAATGACTGATATTTTAATGTTACCTTGTATTTATTTATTTTTTTTCGTGAAACCTAGATTACTTATAAGTACCGTGCCGTACAAAATTATTGGCTCGGAGACACTTTCATCTGATCACAATTTCAAATCAGATCTTTTAGAAAAATGTTTAAAATGTAGCTTTTGAGCCAATTAGTAAAGTGCAAGTCTGAAGTTACCAGAAAATTTCGTTGATTTTTTGCAATCATTTATTTTTTGCTGACAGTGTCTTCCACATTCAAAAAAATGTCGAACATAGTTTGTATGGGAGAAACTCTCAGTAAAAACAATACCAAATATATTGCCTCGTTCAAAGCCATGAGCAAAATCGTGAATACATGGTTTTCCGCAAAACAAGCGGATCTTAGTAATTTTGATAAAAATCTTAACGAACTCCGCACAGCTTTGAAAAGTACTGGAATTTCTCAAACTGTCAAAATCCATTTTATCCTTAAACATTTAAAGCAATCTATTTCATTCTTGAATAACGATGGTTTAGGATTATGGTCCGAGCAGGCCGGGAAGTCAGTTCATAGGGAATTCATTAAATTCTGGGATAGATTCAAAATAAATATGATTGATAAACCAACTTTTGTGAGTCGCCTGAAGAAAACTGTAATGACATTTGATAAAATATTTAAATACTAAAATGTGTGACTATATTATATAGTAAGCCAGCAAAAAAAATAAAGGGAAATAAAAAACAAATATAAAAAAATAAAGCAAGAAAAAAATATAAAAAAATAAAATCAAAAAAAGAACAAAGAGGTGCAAAGTAAGTTGCCTCTACGTGGTGCGCCTTGGAAACGATTAAAACCGGCTAAAAACTTACATAAACTTATATTTTCACACAATATATATACACACATTTACTCACACATACATTGTTGAATATTTAATGCACAAGGATGTTTTTCTCTTTCGCAAAAGTCGGTCCTATCATAACTATGTAAAATGTGGATATCTTTAAAACAGGAGCAGCTAGGATTTCAATTCAAAGGGATTCTTAACCTAAAAATATCAACAAATACAACCCTGCTTTCAGTTTTTGTCGACATTTTTATGCAACCTATCTTTGCTTCCTGCCCACCGTGTGTGGGCGACTGTCGATTTGTTTAAAGTCTAACCCCAAAATTCATAAAAAATAAAGAAGATTTTAACTACTTTATAAATCGAAAATTTGTATGAAAACGTCACTTTATAAAGCTCTTTAAACCTATTTTTTATGAATAAGGCCATACGATTAATTTTTGAAGTAAAGTTGATACATACATCTAACTACATATATACATACGTATATGGAGGCTCCTGTTATAATTTTCTTGTTTTATTACCTCCTAAACTGGAAAACAATTTTTAACGCACTTTGATGATAATTTGAGCCACCTTCTGCTCTCTTGGATTCATACCTGCTAGCTTAATGAAAAAATGTATATATTGAAAGCTACAGCAAAGTTAGCTAGCAGCGATGAACGTTGGCGAGTTTGATTGTGCCTCATAAATTTCGTTCGTTTCGCCACTCGCTAAAGGCCCGTTTACATACAACTTTGACGTTGCGTTGGCGTTGGAGTTGGCGTTGGCGTCGCTCGACAGCTGACTATACAGTTTACAGTTAATTTAATGACCAAAGTATTCGCTGCTAAGCGTTCATTGTAGCAAGTACGAGTGTTACTCGCGCTGCTGTCAAAGCGATGCCAAAGTTGTATATAAACGGGCCTTAAGGGTTGCGAATCGAATGCGGCTTTTGTTGTTGTTATTGGCAAAAAATTTACCATATGGACGTTCACTTTACAACACCATTTACATAAATAATAAAATACAGCAAATGAAGCATTATATTAAAGCCAGACTCCTCACCACAGATATTAGCCAACTGCATGCATACATACATACATACATAGGTATGTACACGAGAAATATAAAGAGTTAATCCTACAAATCGTAAATAACATCAACGTAAATTTCATTACTTTAGGTACATACATACATACATATGTAAATGTACATTTTTTATTCATTCTTATCACTCTGTGAGAACGCCGGCTTTTGGCAACAAAGGTATTCCAGTCGAATGATGATACAAATACATATGTATATATGTAACTACAATAAATTGACAATGAGCTCTTAACAATAACGGCTTTGGGTCGGAAACTCTTTTGTTTACTGATATATACACTTGGAGAATTTTTTTTTTTTAATGCAAAAAATGCTAAAACAAAATCCTTACGCCAGATCAATGCTTGAAATTGATTAAGAAACACGATTACTCACCGAGATTATATGACAAGGTTTGATATTTATTCTCGCTTTAAAACACCACTAATTGGTTGAGCGGCTTGGCCTAAGCACGAGTGAAGGGAGTGTGTGTTAAATGTATTATAAACCCACATTTTACCAAAATTTCGCTATTTTACAGAGGTGTAGTCTCTCAAACACCAATTTTTCAGATCAAAATATATATATGTATATGTTAGATATTTATAAATAAATTTGTTTTCGATTGAAACTAGAAATTTTATCGATATTTTCGATTGTTATATATGACGAAAAATATGCGTATTTAGTAGAGCTCTCGATTTTGTCCGCACATTTTCAAACAGCCCGGGTATATGAGCAGCGAGTACTCGCACACTTGTTCAATGCTCATTACTCGAAAATTTTCGAGCATGAGCTCGAGCAATTCGAGTTTTTTCGAGTAATTTGAGCAATGTTTTTTTTATGATATTGACATTTTTGGTAGCAACTTTTTAAATTTTTCAAATTATTGATATATAATGCAAAGATTGTTACATTGGAATTTAATAATATAATTTATTTAACATGAATTAGAAAGCAGCTGCTGACAAATACAATTTACAAATTTTCTTTTGTTTATGAAATTGTTCAAAAACTCGAAAATTTTGAACAAACATTTGCGCAGTTGAGCAATGATCGAGTTTCGAGCTAGTATCGAGCTACTCGCATTGCTCGATACCCGGGTATCTAGAGCTCTAGTATTTAGTAATCAACGCTATTTAAGCTCGGGGAAAATTTCGATCTTTCGGTGTCTGTCACATTACCACATCAGTCGGAGATGGTTAAATAAAGATTAAAAAGAAAAATGTTTTTGCTCCCACACATTTTACAATTTGTATGTACACAGTTAGATGGATTAATTTTTTAGCAACGTCAGTTTAACATTAAACTTGGCTTAGAAATTCACCACAGGTAAACTCGTAGCGAAAAATAATCACAAGCGTAATTCTGGGTGTATTTAAAAGCTTCCATTATGCGAAAAAGTATATGAATGATATTTAAGCTGAGTCGTCATTGTTAAAGAGATATGTACATATGTATCTACATAGCACGTATGCGTACTACACAAGTAAGAGTTGAGTTCGCTTGAAGCGATCAGTTTTGATTTGAGCGTGGCTGCGGAAAGAACATCTTACCGGATCGACAGTTTATATATATGTTAAATAAAAGCCTCGAGAATTCGCGCAAAGTGCTTACGAATAGAATTTATCTAAAACGATATATGTATTTACACACAGATACATATAAGAGATCAATTATATAAATATGCAAAACAAAAATGTAAGCGGCATCTGAAATTTAAAGTTATTAACAACGGCGGAACCGCAAGTAATTAAATCACAATATTCTGACTACATCATCTAATCAATTCTAAAAGAAAGTGAAATGTTGTGGTTGAAATACAGAGATCCAAATATTTCAAACATATCGACAAAAATAACTGTATCTAGTCAAATATAGACCAAAATGTATTTGAATTACAAAAAAAAAAAAACAAAAAACCATAATTGGTTAGAAAAATTTAATAAACTTTGTAATACACATTCATGCGCAAATTTTGCTGTATATGAGTACATCCCAGTGGAGAAATGTAATGTATAGTAATCAAAAATGCATTTTTTCCCCAAGGGCAATGTCCTAGGAAAAGTGGGGCATTCAATTTTGCATTATCTAGTATCGAGAAATGAACGTGATTTAATATGAAATTTTTGGGACTTTTTGAATACATTAGAATGCTGATTAGATATTAAACAGAAATTCGATATAAAACTCATAGGAAATAATACATCAGATTATTTATCACGCATGGAATGCATTACTATTTTTCCCACTGGGATGTACATATTTAATTGTACACACACACATATACAAATAAATACGACTTAATTGATGGCACACAAAATGAACTGAATAAGAAAATATTGTATGTGCATAGATATGTTTGTATATAGTGGCTCAATTGAAAGTGAAGAAAACAATTAACGCACTACTGGTAACCGCCGAAAAATTCAAGATTCCGAATTAAATCCGCTCCCTACATCTCCTCTACAGATGTATTTTATTTGAAGACCAGTGTATACATTTGTATGTACATATGTATGAATGAATAAGGTCATACCTAGGAATGCTGATGCCAAAAAAAATATATTTAAGCTGCGGACACCGCGTGCCCTGCTTAATAAATAAACATTAAAAACTCAAATGCCTGAGGGCAGAAAACATCGATAAATAAGTACATACATACTTTTGTACATATGTATGTATGTATGTAACATGTAGATATAATGACGCGAAAGCAATTAAAAATTTGTGCTGCAGTTGGAGCAGCGGCAACGCGACCGCATAATACTCGTCAAACAAGCTGTGAACGTGCAAATAAAATATTCGCCGGCGTTTCATTGACATCTATAATGAATTCATTTTACTGGCAGTTGATGCTGGTGTTGGTGGTTAGCTGTGATATGTGCAAATCAAATGAATATCCAGTGACAAGCAGCAAAGCTGTAACTGCAACTGCAACTGCAACTGACAGCGGTGAAATTGGCGGCGAAATCACAATTGATACCACAAATCTACTCGACCCATATACAGGCGGGAAGGAGGAGGACTCCATAGGGGAATATCTCAAGAGTGAAAAGGAAAAATTGTTGGGCAGCAACCTTATCAGAAATGCCACAATCGAAAACGTAACAGAAGAATGCCGCACGCACTGCAACCTACAAGTAAGTTTGCCACTTTACATAGTGCATTATTGCAACGAAAATTCGAGTAATCAGCAATTAAAAAACAATATTTAAAGTAAATTGCATCGCGTACTTTTTCTAAAACCGGTTGCTTAATGAGACGTTTTTTGTAGCTTAGTACGTACATATTGCATTTGAATGCCGTCAGTTTTACGAACTAAACCGACTGTAATTAGTTATCATAGTAATATGCATATGTTTACCGCAAAAAGAGTTGCAAAATTTGATTTACGATTGGAAAATTTGTTTGTTTTGTGTCTGAGCAAAGCTGCAATGTCCAGCAAAAAAATAAAAATAAATTTTGTTTACGATCCAAAAAGTCGCACGCATACACATAGGCGTGCATAGGTAAATAAAATCACGTGATTTATGGACCAACACATTTTTTATTCAACTGCCCTTTCTTTAGAGATAATTAGCTGACAATATAATTGCGCTTAATTGTTTACTTAAATTAACAGCTAATTAGTGGCTTCTACATTCCTAAACTAAGCGACCGTCGGTCGTGCCGTATGCTTGTGCACGTGCTGGAATTATTTAAATTTGTGTGTGTGCACTGTAATTCATACTACATAAATACATATGTACGTATGTACATATGTGCTTAGTATTCGTTCACAAGAGCCCACGTCTTCTTCGCCAATTAAAACAGTCAAACCACATATGTGTACACACATACATACATATGTATTAGGAATGTTAATCCCGGGATCCCGGCATTTTTTAGGCCACGAAAATCCCGGGATTTGTTGGATTTGTAAATTGCACTGATGGAAATAATAGAAACTCCTTTCCTTGACCAGTATTGGCTATATTTTTTTTTATTTAATAAGTAATAATTTTTTTTTTATAAATGTCTAAATCATTATACATATAAAACCGAGCGATAGTAAATTTTGCACACAAAAATCAATATATTCGCGAAACTATGGGCCAAATATAGTAAAATTGCGTTTTTAGTTTTTACTTTGACGTCAGTAATTCAAAAATGATTTAAAAAATTCAGTGAAATGCGCTTAGAGAAGACGAAGTTCTGTAGAATTTAATCAGATTAAATTTTTTTGCTGCATAAGGACTGGTAAGTATTGAAAATGTCCTTTTAAAATTGTATCCTTGAAATTTCGCAATATCTGTATTTGAAAAAATTATATGTTAAGGACTCATATAAACTCGATAACATTCTCGAATTTCGTCCTTCTAACTTTATCAACTTAAAAAATTACCTATTAGTCTTTGTGAATCCAAAAAAAATTAATTTTTTTAACTTCTAAAGAAATTTCCTTTTTCATTTGGTTCCCATGTTTTTATTAAAATAAATCGTGACGTCAGAGAGAAAAAATAAAAACGCCACTTTAAATAAAAAAATTAGGTTTCAAACCCATTTATTTATTATTTATTTTATGGTAGCAGAGATAGAAGCAATTTTTCGCGATTTAAGTTGTTGGAAAGTAATGAATATCTAAATCCCGGGTCTAATCCCGGGTCTCGAGATTGTGATAACGACATTCCGAAAATCCCGGAATCGTAGAAAGCGAAAAAATTAACATCCCTAATATGTATGTACGTATTAATACAGTGCCAGCAATGTGTGCAACAGTAGCCACACTTCGCCACAATTACCATGAGGACAGCACTGCTTCTGTTAGAATTTGGAGCACATCTTCATTGGATAGCATCCGTCGTTATATATGTACATACATACATATGTATGTTGTGTGCATACGAACACTCACATGTAATAGCCTAGATACGTGTTAGATATTACATACTTAAATATGTACATATGGATGTGTTTATGTACTATATGTACATATGCATAAGTACCTTTGGCTGTATTTACTTTTCTACAACCGTGAAAACCCGATTAGACATAGCCGTTTAAGTATGCATATGTACAAATGTATGTATGCGCGAGTAAGTGATCTCGGCATTATTAATCGGAGGAGCTGCATTTGTGACTAACGATGAGGAGTACACTTACTTGCAAGGTTACGAAGAAGACAAATTTTTTGTCGTGTGCGCATACATATGTGCATATGTATGTATGTACATGCATATGTGCCAAGACATTTCTTTTCTTTTGTTGACATATCACTTGATACCCTCTATTGTGGGCATTTATGTGCACTAATTCTATTATTGTTGTCACATCAACGTCATATGCAGCTTTGTACATATGTACATATAATCATGTATTCTAAATACATATGTATGTATGTATTGACATACAATGTTAATCCGATATTCCTAATAGGGCTCTTTTACACGATATGTATTTGCATATGTAAACTTCATAGTGGCCTTAAAACTTTTTTGCCATGGTTGGATTCTAAATGAATATTTATAGTTGACTCAGCTTTTTCTGATAAAATAAAGAAATATCCAAAATATTGTACGTGACTTAAAAATAATAATACCGGAATGAAGAAATTTTAGGTATTGAAATTTCTGATTACAACTGCTTTTATTAATGAACAGACATAGACACTTGCAATTAATTTCATGGAAATAACAACTCATTGCATTGAAATAAAAAAGTTTCTCATGATTTAAACTTTTATACTTCAAATGTAAATCATAGTTATTAAATCTTTGTGTTACATATTTAAATATGAACATACATACATAATTAACTAACTTTTTTAAATAATTATAATAGTAATGATCTAAGAAAAAAGTTCAATCTAGAACTTTTAAGGCTATGTACCTTATTTAAGTATTAGTTCGTGCTCATAGTAGAAAGGCGTAAATCAAATACGCTTCATCATACTATTGATAGAACTGAAATATGTACATATGTATATGCAAGAATACATGCATTCGAGTCCTTCAAGTAGAAGGTACTACAGTCGCCCTTTTTAACCAAGTTGCAAAGAAACAAAACACCAGAATGGATAACGAATTACATGTAAGTCAACAAAGCAAACTCAATAATAACCCTGCAGAATATCCGACTAGCTCAGAATTAGCGTAAGACCTCTTGCCGGCGGCACTAGTTCTATAGCTCAATACCCAAGCAAGCAATGCATTCAATGCCGAGAGGCGAACGCTGTTAAGAAAAAGACCTTTTTCACAACATTTTTTGCGATGTTGCTTTGACCAGGGCTTGAACCCAGGCCACAACTACACCACAGCGGCCGCCTCAACAATTTAAATTCATTAAATCTGAAAAAACTCACAACTGCCTCCACCGCGATTTGAACTACTAGCAACTAATGAGGCTTGAGTCAGAGGTCTTCTCGCTGAGCTACTTTCATATTGTGCGAGAAGTGAGAATTTGTACACTTACAACGCCATTTTCAACTGTCCCGCTCTGCGTCCGTTTTGTCTAGTTCAGAGATAGTTATGAAATATGTAGTTCGGAACTAGCGCTTTGTTCTAAATTTTACTGCAGGGACATAACTACATACATATGAACATATATCCATACATATGAACATAACATATATATATGTAGGTATATAGTATACTCGAGTTGGCCAATTCGGTTAAGCGTTATGCGAACTAATCCGTAGGGTTGCTTGCGAAGCAAAAAAAACTATGCAATTGTGAATGGCATCTTTTTAAATAGATAAAAAAAGTACGTGTATGTATGTACATATGTACATGTTTAAAAAGTTAAGTCGGAATTTGTTTCCTCTCACCCCCAAGGATTGTTCTAAGCCGAAAAAAATATACCCCTATTTTTTATTTGTTGGTTAAATAAACAACTATTATTACTATTATTGGCAATCTCCTAAAGGGTAACAGAGTTTTCCGATCGAAAAACATTGATTTTCAAGAATTCTAGACCATTTCTACGAAAAGTTGTTATTGACCCATATATGTAAAACACATGGAAAACTTTGAGCGCTTTGTGCGACCTCTAAATATTTTTTGATTTCATAAAGAAAAAATAGGGGTATACTTTTTTCGATATAGAATAATCCTAGGGGGTAAGAGCATTAAAATTCCGAATTTACTTATTTTGGACCACTTTAATGTATGTACATATGAAGGGGTTAGAATCAAAAGGATCTATGTAGGTCTGAAATTGTTTTGAGATAATTGAAGTTAAAGTTGATTACTTATTGTAAATTCTGGGTAAATTCATTTGAAATGATCATTGCCCGGCCAATAGATGGCACTACAATGTCCGAAATGACTTGGCCCTCTTTGTCACCAAATAAACACTGTATTTAACTATACAAATATGGGTAGAACTTATATTTTCAAAAAATGTCACTTAGACCCTAATGATTCCCCTTCATATATATTAGCAAAATTTTCTGTACCAATTTGCCCTATATGCAAGGGTATTGCAAATTTATGCGCATAACGGTTGTTTGTAACAGCCTTACAAATTTGAGATAGATACTAAAATGCTCAGAATCAAAAGATAAATCAATTCTCCTATATCCCTCAGTCCGCCCGCCCGTTCTTCCATGGACACGGTGGCTGTATTTCTGTAAACATTCCAGATAATCCCGCCTTACAGGCGGAATAAACGGAACGCGTTTTGGATATAAGTACTATAGCATTGTATTCGGTTGTTGTACCTAATAAATAAACGTAAAGATTTGTTCCAAACGTTCAGAATGGATAAAGAAATCCAGCCGGTAGCTGCCGTATAAAAATATATACCTCAACAAAATATCGTTAAGTAAATAGATTGCTTTTAGATCAAGGCAGGGTCGTATTGAAATTTGCGGTATTTTAGTAACTAAGTTTGGTTCAAGTTCCAAGTTTTTTTTTTTTAAGATTTAATAATTACACTATACAGCACTTGGCAGGGTATTGGGACGAAATCAACTCTTTTATAATTTCTCCGTTTTTCGAAGTTAGCCCCCGAAATCGAGATATGGGCCTTCGAAGTTCGAAATTGGACCTTTGGTAAAAAAATATTTTTAATTATTGTATGTGCCTTTTGCTCTTATTAAAACGGTATATAACTTTTTTGTGCAAACTTATATTCCAGGTGCTATAAGGGGTCGAAGATCAGATTTTCGAAAAGTTAAAAACCTTATATTTCAAAAAATTTTGAACTAATTTTTCAGTGTTATAAGGGACCTGTAATATAAGTTTGCACAAAAACTAGCTTTTTTCTCTTTCGTTATTTACATGCAATACTAAAAAATTATTTTTACCAAAGGTCCAATTTCGAACTTCGGAGGCACATATCTCGATTTCGGAGGCTAACTTCGAAAAACGGAGAAATTACTTTTTTACCTGTGACTCAATCTCTTGGAAAAAATTGGTGTGGTCCAATACCCAGAGAAAAAGGTCATTTTGCCGTATAGTGTTATTTTAATCTTACATTTATAAAGTCATACCCCAGCCTTTTTCGAAATCGCTTAGTTTAGGAACTACATATTTCAATTCTAGGCATTCAAATTTGCACTTTCACTGTACCAGTAAGGAGGCTTTCAGTATGTTTCATAACAGCAAATATCTTCAATTTTAACGGCATCAGTTTACAAATCGTATGACTACTTGTGTAAAACTGGGAGGGATGAAGGACTACATTTGGTTTCCAGTTTGCATTTGTATATGTTTAAAGTGCTGAGTGCAGTTTTTATGGCGATTCAAAGCTAGTCTATTTGTTGTGCTATAGTTATATTAAACCTACTTGATAGATTAATAAAAATTTAGAGTATTCAGTTCATCGAACATCTCTATATAAAATTATTTTTTTTTTTGTAAATTTTCAAAGGCACCTGAGTTCTTAAATGAATACGGACTACAGTGTGGAAAGAAAGGCGAAAATCGCATGTGCTTCAAGTCGAGGGTAAGTAGAAAACATTAATTAAGCGGAAACTTTACACGCTTTTATATTTTCATACATACAACTATGCATATGTTAAGTATGTATGTACATAAATAAAATAAGCGCTTGGTAGAAACCCTAAAACCATAAAACCTAAATATACTTCCGAATTTACACATACAAAGACTGGGAGCAGCACCCCACCCACTCTCACTCACCAAAGCGTTCAATCACTTTGCAACCAAATGTATTGTAGTACCACAAATCAATATCCGACACAACCTGATATCGCACCACATACATACATGTACATACATACATATGCATATCCGTACCTTCACTCTCTCTGCACGTAATAAAGAAAAGGTAGGAGTTTGTTGTATTTTCCTCTTTATTTTGTTGACTCACTAGACGTTTAAGCTTGCAACCTCACCTGGAAGCGCTTTTATGCACACATACACATATGTACATATGTATATATGTATATATTAGATATGGCCAAGTATATTTATGCATGCGTCTTTGAAAGTGGTGTATTTGTAAATTTATAGTAAATACCGATTCTTACAGTGCATAAAAGGTTGCGAACAATGGAGAGTAGCACTTGCAAACTCAGATACTTGCCAGGAAACATGTGTAAGTATTTGTACGATATGTCGCTTGCGAGCTTCTGAACTTATTAGGCTTCGGATATTTTTCCCACGCTTATAAATACTTGTTTTGCTTATCAGATTTCAACGCAATTACATTGGCTTGACCTACCGTGCATATATGCTTGCGAAATGGGTCAAAGGCATTATTGGGACCGTCAAAAACGAATTGCAGAGTCTGCAATACAACTCGAAAGACCCTTTATAATAGTATCCAATAACACCGATACGTTGAAGTTACTATGGAATATTGTATTACCTGAATATTTATTCGCAAATTATCAATTTAGTATTCACATACAATACCAATATGTTATGGAGAATGTAACCGAGGAGCTACAACCATGGAGAAATTTGGCCAATTATGATTGTAGCCAGAATTTTGTCTGCGAATTGTTCGATGAGTTGGTTCCCTTCGCCGTTTATAAGGTAACTTGAATAAATAAATCAGGGACGTGAACCGGTTTTGAACCGGAAAACCGCTCTTTTCTATTAGTTAACTGAACCATTAACCGAACCGAAATTTTCCACAAATGTTTGATCCGAACCGAAAACCGAACCACTTTCTATAAAGATTGAAAGTTTCGTTTCAACCAATTTTCAATAGATAAATGTACCCACTTTTTTTCCTTTTTGGTAAACATGGTAATACCCATAATGTTTGTTTACCATGTGACAATATCAAATGTAAAAGCAACCCATCTCATTTGACAGACACTTGACCCTTAACCTTGCGCGTTGTTGCACTTGACACCTGACACTTAAACTTGCGCGTAATTTTTTTGTTTTTCGAACCGTTGAACCGAACCGAAACCCCGGTTCAAAGACCAAAAAAACCGCTTTGACGAACCAATCCAAAAGTGCAAAAACGGTTCGAACCGCTGAACCGAACCAAACAAATGTTTCATCCGGTTAACGTCCCTGAAATAAATAACTAACAAACCATCATGTAAATTAATGAGAGACTTTTAATTGTTTCAGTTTCGATTCAAATTGGATTTAGGTGAATTCGCAAATCAAGCTTTACATTCGCCCCCAACGGAAGCGTTTAGAACTGTAGCTGGAGGTGTTCCGCTTTCCACGCCGGTAATCAAAGAAGTTTTTGCCTTGGATCATTCTCACATAAGCATAGCT